CTCGCGCCTCCCGCGAGCCCTCCCAGCTGCTCACGCCTCCCGCGAGCCCTCCCGCTGCTCGCGCCTCCCGTGAGCCTTCCCTCTGCTCGTGACTCCCGCGAGCCCTCCCGCTGCTCGCGCCTCCCACGAGCCCTCCCGCTGCTCGTGCCTCCCGCTCCCTTTCCCTTTCCCGCCGTCGCTCGCCGCTGCCGCCGCTCCCTTTCCCTTACTTAATTTAATAGCATATTTTTATTTAAAATTTTAAATAATTATATTTATTAATTATATTATATATTTTTATATTTTAGCGCCTCGCTTCGCTCGGGCGAGCGTTTGGGCGAGCGCCTAGCGCCTCGGGCGTTTTTGGACCTTGGCGCCTAGCGCTTTTTAAATCACTGAGTGTGAATGAAAGATTAATGTCTTTAACTGCAATTAATACATCTTAGAAATTAGACATCTTTCTCCAACTAATAACATGCATTTTACTTTTTAGAGTGAAGTGTTACTCCAGAATAACCTCCAATAGGTGTGAATGAAACGATTAATGGCTTTATCCAAGACCCAAGAATTCTTTTGAGTAGGCAAAGCATTCTAGGGCCTTCAGAATGCGAGTACGAGACCTACTGGTACCCTACAGAGCGATGAAGTTATCATCCATGAACATCAACTGAGACATTCTGAGCCCCTTAATATCAAAAGGAATTCTCTTTCCCTATTATCCTTTTGCTGAGTTTTAACATGTTTTGTGTTTGATGATTACTTGAGTTTGTGTTGAATTAAGAAGTCACTTTTTTTTAATGTAAGATGATTACGTACCTCAGTCTGAGGTATTTCAGTTATATGATCATTGCCTTACAGAATAAACAATTTGCTGGAACTGTTGAGCAATTATTTTGGCATGGCATTTTGATTTATTATATTTTTTTCCTCTGCAGAAGATGGCCAAGACAATACGAATGATGATGGTCCAGAGAATAACCCACAATACACAACTGTATATGTTGGGAACCTTGCTCACGAGGCAAGCATTCAGCTCTCTGTTTTGTTCTCTCTCCTCCCATAGGAATCAGACTTAACTAATATCAAAAGCTTGTCATAGATGTTTGATTGTGTCATTGTTGGCTTTGCAAGTTAGGGGTATGTTTTCTGGGAAGGTCATTTTTCTGGTTTTTGTTGAGATGTAGTATTACTGCCAGGTTACCCAACTAGATCTCCACCGCCATTTCCATACCCTTGGTGCTGGAGTGATTGAGGAAGTACGTGTACAACGTGATAAAGGGTTTGGTTTTGTGAGATACAGCAACCATTCTGAAGCTGCTCTGGCTATTCAAGTGGGGAATGGTCGAATGCTCTGTGGGAAGCCAATCAAGGTATGGTTGGATTGTTTTCTGTCTTGTAACTGTGAATTTCAATGCATACTCTTTGAGATATATCTGTGGATATGACTAGTCTGAATTCTTCAGATGTTGATGCTTTGGGGATTACTCCATTTGAACTGGTAGCTGTTAGTGTGACATGATGTTTTTGATACATTGAATTACTCTTATCTGAACAATTAGGGGTTTGACAAGGCTTGTCTTGATGGCATATTTTATTTAGTTCAATCTTCATTTCATGCTACTCTTGTATACTGTTTGGATGAACTTTAATGTTATTTCTCTAATTGTTCACACATATAAACTATACCTTAAGTAGTCTGATACATCATCACCATGTCCTCATTCATATACACCATAGAAGCTGTGGACTGTTGAGTGATGCTATCATCTTGGCTTTAATGGTGTGGGAATATCATCCATCTGTTACCTAACTATCGGAAGTTATGTTCTGCCCACCACTGATGGAATAAAAAAGAATTGATTTACCCTAGTAGTTCTTTTGCGCGAGGTTTATTTTATTGCACATTTTACTGTATATAAATAGATGCTGCATATTTGCTTAGTGCATTTTGTCATTCGTGTGTCAGTGTTCTTGGGGCAGCAAACCAACCCCACCTGGGACAGCCTCCACGCCACTGCCCCCACCTGCTGCTGCATTCCCTGGACTCTCTGCAGCTGACTTCTTTGGTTATGATCGCTCGTTGGCATTGGCTGGCGCAGGCGCAAACCAAGCGTTGATTCATGTTCAGGGCCAGCATGCTCTGAAACAAGCTGCAATGGGGATGGGCGCTGGCGCCAGCCAGGTGATCTACGATGGCGGGTTCCAAAATGTGAGTGCAGCACAGCAGCTCATGTATTACTAGGGCTCGGTCAGACTTGAATTAATCACTGGTTGGAGCTTTTCCATTGTGGTTCATTTTCGTTTTCTTTTTGCACTCATCTTCCTACTATGTTCTGATTTAGTTCTTGTGCTGCCCTTTGTGCTTATGAATGTGTTGCTGCACAATTATGTAGTCACATGGAATGTTGGTAGGGTTTGACAAGACTACTTGGGGAACCTTTTATTTCCTTTTTTTTTTTTTTGTTTCCTCTTGTGTTAATGAGATCTTGAGGGCATTTTTCTTCTCTAGCTTGTATCCTGGATCCTGTGATTTGTGATGGCTAGTTTTCTCTAAGAATTGAATTGTGGTTCAGACTGGAATTTTGATGATATGAATTGTGAACTGCCTTCTGGCAAATAATACTAATCTCGAGGCCATCCTCATGAATAATTTTCTGTACATCAGTGGAGTGAGTATCTTACATGAGAATGGTGGTTGATTTTTCAAGCTGCATGTTTGTAATATATAAAATGGTCACAGGCCCCATATCAATGGTAAGAATCATCTTTTTATGATCTGATCAGGACTAATCACCAAGACATCAAGTAAGACTATCTACATTGATGAGAGTCTCGGTGGCTGATATGGTCGGGTTTGTTGCCGTTACAATGTTTAGTTCATCTTTATATAATGTATTTTTATTTTCAAATTCTTAAGAATTTTAAACAAATCTTAATTTTAGAAATCTTATTACTTCAAATATTGACCAATTAATCAAAGATAGGAGGAGGGGTGTAAGTCAGAGTTTCCATGCTCAATCATAACCAGTTG